AAACTCTAAACCCAAAAACCCTAAGCCCTAAAACCCTAAACCACAAACCCAAAGGTCCCACAAAAAGAAACCAAGAGAAGCCTGGGTTGCGAGGTAAGGCCTCCCTAAACCCTACACCCTTGCGTTTCTGAGGTGAAGAAAGTCACGAACGCCTTCAATGACCTGGTCCTCTGCTGAGTTGGGGTTGTAGGTTCATGGTTTAGGGTTTAGGTGGTTGAGGGTTCAGGGGGTTTAGGGTTTAGGGCTAGGGCCATGGAGCATTATCAGTGTCATTGTCATGCTTTACATGTACGGGCCTCGCTTGATAAGATCTTATCATCATGACCGCGACAGTTTGATGTTGGTGGCTGAACGCCTGGTTATCGTCTGGTCCATTACTTTTATTTGTTCACCTGTGGTATCTTTTGCAGTATCAACATTGTTCCCTATCATAGCCAGCAGTGGATAGCACATTTTTTGCTTGACTGGTGTCAGGTTGATGGCAAGCGCATCCTCCGTGAGGCCAGCATTTCCATCAGTCGAAGTTGGGCCATTCCCCCTTACAGTAACTGTCCTTAAAGGGCGTCTTCTTGAGGGACTATTCTCATTGCAAGGGAGGATGACCTAAAGTAGAAACTTTAGGCAAAAGTCGGGTTGATCCGAAGTATCTTTACTTGGCGCTTGCCAACCACGAGTTACATGTTGTTTGGCTCTACCAGGACTATGCCACCTGAAAACCAGTTGAGGTTACCCAAATTCTGCATGAATGGTCATGCATTTTTTTAATCATGCAATTCTGCAACGATTGTGTTTTGAAAGTCTACCCAGCTGCATGATTTGCACATTGAACCTCTAAGCGCAGAATCCTGTGAGTCTGGACCCCAAACCCAAATTCCCTCCAAATTCTAAAGCCCAGAAACTTAAATCCGTAGACGCTGAACACCCAGACTCTACAAACCCTACAGCCGTGAAAACTAGAATCTCCAAACCCGTTCACCCTACCTAGACATCCCAAACACTCAGAATGTTAGCCAATATACAAAATTTTTGGCGGTTTGCAGGCTATCATTATGGGTGTTTGGGAGGTTTACCTACGCCTTCGCAGGTGAAGCTGCTAAGACAGCTGGATCACGTGCGATTCTTGGGGGAAGAGTTGCGCTTCCTTTTTGGGTTTTTACAGCATTGAGCCTTTATTTAGGAAGTACATATGGCAAGGATTATAGCATACTGGCCTACATTACGGCCTCATATTTACAGAAACTACTATATGAGACATGTTCAGTTTGTCAAAAGGCATCCCTCATGGTCGGTAAGAACACCCTTTATCCCTGATGAAGATGGCAGGTTTGTTCGTGCTGGAAATCAGAATCATAGTAGCTTGGCTTTTGCCATAAGTTATATGTTTTCTGCATACCTTCTTGATTATCAACATCATCTATTACTTCCTTAACTTCATTTTGGTTTAATCTGAGCAGTATTGAGAACAGCAACTAGAAACCGATGACACCATCGTCCGAAAAATGTCCAGGTGTCAACTATGAGGACAATAGTTCAGTTGTCAAAAACTAAAAAAGGTGGAGTAAAAACAACAGGAATATCATGAAAGCACAGTGCCTTTAAGTCTTGCACAGGTTTCCTGCAAAGCCCATTCAAGGACCCTTGTTGTGACCCCCAATATATCCCTAGTTCTACGTAGCTTCCCTTAAGGCATCCCTTTTTACATGGTAGCAGTAGGCATGGTCCAGTCATGCCCTTATTATTTCAAACATGGAGATTTATTGAAATGAGGTGCCATGGGGATGCATGGTCTTTTAAGTCTTATCAAGAATTGAATGGCCAGCCCTAGTTCTACTAGTGTTCGGACTAGGGCCAGTATGACGCCAACAACAGGAGCGAGCCCAACGCCAGGTAAACCTCGAGCCCTAAGCCCTGCAGCTTTGGCACGACATCCTGCATCTTAGGCCCCAAACCCAGAAGCCCTTAACCCTTAACCTATAAGCCCCAAACCAGGAGCCTTTGGCCCTACACCCTTAGTCACCTTAGTCCTAAGCCCTTATCCAAAAATCCTTGAAGCACAACTTTCACTCCTGAGGACAACATCATCCGAATCATGGACATGTACCCTCCACCGGGCCCAGACTTCGACGTGCGGAAGCCCAGCCGCATACTCGAGGGCTTCGCCTTTCTGAGAATTCTAGGCCTTGTGTTGTGGGACGTATATTGAGGGGGGGCTGTAGACCTCAAGGGGTTTGGGGTTTAGGCTTTGAGGGGTTTGAGGTGGTAAGAGATGTGAGTGCTAGAGCTCGTATTTTTTCCGTTGAGGCTAGCTTGACTGGGAGAGATGCATCAGCAACGGTATAGGCTTAGGGGTTTGGGTTTCAGGGGTTCTGAGGCTAGGGGTTTCTGGTTCAGGCGCAGCGATTTAGGCAAACACTTGCAATGACCGTGTCCGACGATCCGTGTGACACACGCCACAAACTTCTTGTGGATTGTGGAAAAAGCAGCGGTTTAGGGATTGAGGCTTCAGGTATTTTAGGATGTGTATGCATTGTTATGCACATGCATATAGAGGGTAGTTGTATATGAAGACATAGGGAGTAAATAGGGTGCCTATCCAAATCATAGTTCCCTTTTTGGGGGTCCCCATACTGAGGCTTGTACAAATTTGCAGAGTTGGGTTGCCTTGAGAGAAAACACGAGCAGCTGTTTGACTTGGGCCTCGAACGGGGGGCCAGGAGGGTCGACCGACATGAGTATAGAGTTCCTTACATCTATGAGAACTCGACATGCGCTGTAGTGAAAGTCCACGTGCTCCAGTAGAGCATGACCATAGGCCTGGCTTCTATGAGGTATTGCCCAGATTCCCTGCCATCAATCCTGTTGATGTCACTGTTGGGTTCGAATCGAACTGTGATTTGCGCACAGCACAACGCCCTCACGCCTAACTCCGAAGTGGTAAATGCTAAGCCCCGACTCGTAGACGTTCTGTTGTGGCGCAGGACATTTACATTGTCACCGATCTCATGGAGACAGTCCCCACGCTGCACTAGGGTGCTAGCAAATCAGAGCCGCCAGCTAGTGGGGGACCGCAGGGCATGTTAGGATTATGAGGGGATTGCGGGGTCCTGATTAGCGATTACGTGGGGATGATTTTGACAAACACACTGGTAACAGTCTAAGGTATTTGGGCACTTCTTAGCTTTGTCTTTCGGTACTGAAGTACTGCAGAAAATGGGAAACTATCTGGAAACTAATCCCGAACTCAACCCCAGACCCTAAACCCTAAACCCCAAACCCTAAAACTGCGGCTTATAATCTTGGAAAGGGGTTGGAATATATCCTATAGGGATACATAGGGGTTATATTCCCTTATTTCCTATTAGCCACCAGTAAGTTAAACCCTCAACCCTAAACCCTAAGCCCTAAACCGTAGTACATCAGGGAAGTATCGAAGCGACTCCATGATATCCTCAATAAGTTTTATGACGTGATCTTGAGAAGGTTACTTGGCATTAAGGGTCTAGGGTTTAGGAGCAGCTCCTGAGGCTTTTCAATGTGTGAACATCTTTGTATAAAGCTCGCAGAAGGAATCCAACAATATTTTCAAACCATAGATTCCTCCGGTTTCTCAAGAGACGTTGAGCTTCAGTACGGAAAATGCCAGCACCCCAAAAGTGCGTTTGAACACACCTCTCCTGAAACATAGAGGCGATGATTCATGGTATATAACTTGTGTTTAGGGCATGGATGGGCGGCATCATGCCAAGTGGAAGTTCTGAGAATGCAAACCCCCTATGACCCCTGAGGGAGCCCCGCTGGGATCTCTACATATGCCGGGAGTTTGTCAGGTAAAGCTTGGCTTTTCTAAGAGACACCCATGTGATGAAGCGACCAGAGGACTTGCACAGAGTCATCTACTCCAAGCAGCCTTTGACAGAGGACACGACTGCACTGGTGCTTCGTATGCGGGTGGGGGTCTCAAAATCAGGCCCCTAGAGCCCTTAGGGATGCATGCGGATTAAAAGGGGATTGTGGCCTCCTTGTCGTACCGATTCTAGAGACCATCTGAGAAATTCCATATAATGTGACTCCTAGGGCCCCCAATGGGTGCACCCAGTGCGGGTGCAGATTCCTTGCAGAAGTATTCCGGCCAACCACCCTTGCACTTCGAACAGCCCCCATAATGCCTAAAGCGGCTGCAATTAGACTTGTGGTGACGTGAGCTATTTGCGCACCCTGCTAAAAGGCGAAGGTACGCTCAACATACACTGTTTCCACCTGAGCCCTCCTTCGGCATGTACAAGGCACAGAACGGTTCGACGGTTGCTCACCTCTTCTTATTGGTTCTTAGTTGGGAATAAGGAAATATATCATGACGGGACTATGTAGGGACTATATTCTCTTATTCCCTGCTAAGAACCAGTAAGTCATGTTTTCAGGAGCACCACCAGTACTTCCTCCATCAAATACTTCGTGGACGGGGCCACGGATGCTTCAGCTCAGCTTCGTTTCACGTCTACCCTCTCCCAAATTGACATTGAGCGGCCAAAAGAGCTCTTGTACAATAAAGCTTAAATCCTGTCCTCTTGAGCTGTGAAGCTTCAAGGAGAAAACGTGCAAGAGATATTACTGCACTTACAACTTATAATATCTAGAGCAAGTATTATTCTTACCATAATCATTATTACTACTATTATGCTTGGTAGTAATTTGAATACTACTACTGTTATTGTTACTACTACTGCTATTACTGTTATAAGATCCCTAGCAAGAAGAAACATCACAGACATGACCCGCAAGCACGCTGGACACCATAGCTCCGGTGATGTTTTTGAGGCTTAGCCTACCTCCACAGTGCGCACATTGTGCAGGGAACCCAGATGTTGCCTCTATCTTAGGTGGACCCCCCCACCCTTTAATAGTGACTATAAGGGATATCAAGGATTGTATTAGGGTCCTATTACTATTACAGGGTGGGGGGTCCTCCTAACCCCCCACCTTTATATTGCCGCGACTGCTTTCGGCCATCACTCTGGGCTGTGCTTCTTACAGCTGGCTCGCCAGGCACCGAGACATCAAGCCGTCAAATCTGCTGGTACGCGCCTAAGGCCATGACAGATAGCAGGTGTCTTATCTTCAACAGGCTTCAGATGATCTCCTGCATATGTTGCGATGTGCCCGTCGCGGCTTGATGTCGTTGGTGAGCGGTTGAGATTTGGGAGACAGCGCAGTACCAACCCGACGTCTAGACCAAAACGCGATGGTAAGCAGGACCCAATCAGCGTGGATTCAGAAGATTGAGGCTAGAGGAAAGTGTGGCCAAAAGAGCAGCACTTTCACGCAAGCGAGAGCACATTTTCAGGACAAGACCGAGACGCCAATTTCAAATATTACCACGTGCTACTGACAGCTATGAATGCTGCAGTTTTTTCAGCAGTTTCTCCAGGAAGTGCTAGCCTGGGCGCAGTTACAGCTCGTTGTCCAACAACAAAGTTTTGCATGGCAAGCTGGCTACGGCCAGTTCCTTGACCCCTGAAGGACCCCCAACATGGAACCCCCGATACTCTCCCCGTTTTCCCGAAGTAGGGCTCATCTGTTACGCGCTTGAACTTTTTGTATCCCTCAGGCCCCTAGTTCTGAACCCTAGAGAGATTGTGAGGTCAACAAGAACTGCGACCTGAAGATCTGCGACTTTGGCCTTGCCAGAGCACGGGCCACATGAGCTGCTGTCAACATCATGGACGTTCCTAACCCGCTCCCCCTCTAATAATGAACCCTGCCACCTCAGCCCCCAATAATGACTAGACCCAAAATATTATTAGTATTAAGCAGAAAGGAGCGTATTTTTCAGTAGGGCACGTGGAGGGTCTCTATTAGGGGGAGGAATTGTACATCCTGTATAACCTGACGATGATACTAGACTCCCAGAATTTAAGAGGTTCAAGGTACTTCGGGTCCTGCAGGAGCTCAGGTCTTAAGTATCAGCGGCATGTGACTCAAGGGAACATGAAGGGCAGACAGGGTTACTCAAGGTCTTGCTAGAGATTGACTGCGAGATTCACTGCAGCTCACAGCACAGATGGGTTTGAGGGTTCAGGGTTGATGGGTTCTGGGTCTGTGGTTTTAGAGGAGCATCAGTTGCAATCCTGAGAGAATCGATGGTGCTGGTACCAAGAGGAAGCAGCTTGAAGCCTAGGCCCCAAAAACCAAAGCTCCAAACACTCACCCTCAAAACAAAAATCCCCAGACCCTAAATTCCAAAACCCCAGACCAAAATCCCCACATCCCTGAAAATCCTTTAATTCCCTATAGATTCCTTAGAAATTCCTTATAAATCCCTACAAATTCCTACAAATCCCTATAAATCACTATCAATCTCTAACCCCGCAAATCCCAAAACTGCCTCCCATCGTCATCTCGAGGTCTTGGCTACGGACGCAGAGGACACCATGGGCCGGACCGACTATGTGGTCACGCGCTGGTACCGGGCGCCTGAGGCAGGAGGTTTGGGGTTCGGGGCCTAAACCCAAAACCCTTTAAACCCTAAACCCTCTAAACCCTAAACCCTCTAAACCCTCTAAACCCTAAACCCTCTAAACCCTAAACCCCTAAACCCCTTGATCCCAAACCCCCTGTAAACCCTCGGGACTAGGGTTTGGGGTTTAGGAGCTGAAGTTTGGGGTGTGGGTTGAAGACTTATATAAGCCTTAAAGGGGGGTTATATAGGGGAGTCTATATGGGGGAGTATTGTGGGGGCCTATGAGGGGGGATACTAGGACTTTAGACTATGGCTCATATGGGTCTTATTTTTTCAGGATGTTAAGAGTTGGTTTAGAGCCCTTGGGGTTTGGCTTGTAGTTTAAAATCTGCCAGTTGTCCTGTGAAGATGATTCATCTACACCTGCCTGCCTATCCTTGCTGCAGGTCATGTTGGTGTCCTCGGAGTACACAGTTGCGATTGACGTTTGGGTTCGAGCCCTGGCATTTGAAAGCATGCGGGAGTCTCAGTCTCATGCAGGAGTTTCTCAAATTGGACTCGCATCATCCGATTTTCATCCGTACATATTTACTTATATATATATGTGTATATACTTTCTGTCTTTGGCCTCTTGAGATTCATTCTGAGAAACCCTCATGTGTGAGACAATGTCATTGTGCGAAGTTCATGCTGCGAACCGCATGTGCCTAAGGGTGGATGCTGTTCTCACTGTGCAAGAGCAGCCTAAGAATGCAAGTTTAGTAGCATTATACCTTGGGCGCTGCCGCCACCCAGCAATAGCTTGATAAAGAACAAATGTATTGCTCTTCTATAGAGCCCCCCATAGTACCCTTATGAATGGTTGTTCGTTGGTGGGAGCCATACGTAAAACATGTCTCAAATAGCTTGGTTGTTCTTTTACATACTTTTTCTCGTTATTACACTAGAGCCCAGCAAGGAATCTACAGTCACATTTCCAAGCAGGAGCCAGGTTATTTCCCTGTCCATTTCATTTCCCATTTTCTTTCGGATTTGCTTCTCCAGTATAGGGGGATAATATACGCTAAGCCCTACAGTAACTTCAATTAACTTCCTTAACAGTTCAGCAATAGGCTGTGGGCTGCATTCTCTTCGAGCTGATCTCGCGGAAGCCCCTCTTTGCAGGCGGGGATACCTTTCGAATTTTTTTGTGTGACAGCATAATCTATACATGGGGCGGTCAGTGTGTGCTTCCTGCCTTCTTCTCACGGTTGAGCAGTAGATGGCATGGGCGGTGGCTTTCTGATAGTGCTCCTGCTGTGGACCTTCAGTGTCTGATGTCCTGCGAAGGCAAGGATCACGTGGATCAGCTGCGAAAGATTATCAGCACGCTGGGCACACCGTCGGAGGCCTCATGGATGATGTGAGATAGTTTCTTCTCTTCTTGTTCTTCTTCTCATCGTTGTTGGGATTTTGAGAGTTCTGGCGAGTGCATGTGGGTTCTTAGAACCATCTATGAGTGTATGCATGGAGCATCCTTTGCGATAGGGATGGACAGACACGTTGATGCCCAGGGGTCCAGGAAAAACGGACCCTGCAAAAAAAATTGGGTTCTCTTTCAACCTTCTTCACAGGAGGCATCCTCCTTAGGCAGCCTGTCCTTTTTGGGGGAGGGTAGCCTGATTTAGCAGAGTCCCTGATATGTCCGCGAAGAAGAGCCCATGTCCTTTGACCATATGACATAAAATACGTGCAGGCGGCGTGACAGCAGTGACGAGGGTAGAATGTTTGCGTACACAAGAAAGTACAAGCTGCAAAGCTCACAAACATGAATGGCGTGACACGAAGATTGCAGCAGCAGTTGTTGCAGTATGAGCGGGTATCAAAAGCCTAGTTCGCCGTTGCCGCCACTTCACCCCTTTCAAGGACCTTCCAAAAGGGATCCCACAGTTTGAGGACCCTCATCTGTTTCTTGCTTCGAAGTATCTCAAAGTATTTCTTATAGAATTTTAGCAGGGACGCCCCCATTATCCCTATGAGATCGCTCCATACAGAGACGTATACATGTATGTATATATTTAGATGTATACATATGTCTGAAGTTCTCACCCTTATTTCAAGAACCCTGCGTGGTTTGATTGCACCCAGTGCTTCCGGAGGCTGAAACAGCATGGCTGCCTGAAGGCGGCACGGCACGCTCATTTCTCGTGAAGTGTGCACATGCGCCGAAGGCACAGTGCTTAGATGAAGCTGCTGTATGGGAGTGTATTAAAGCGATCTCTGCGTAATCCTTAAGGGTGACCCTAGAACTTTCCCATCATCCCTACATATGCATACGTTTTGTAGGGCCCTTTTTTTGAGAAACCACATGTTGCTGGTTTCCACAAGGCTTGGGGCTGTAAAGGAGATCCTGAGTGAGGGGTTCATGTCTAATGACCCTCCAGAAGGGCTGCCATGCCTGGAAATTCCTTATCTCATTCATCGAAACGTAGTCCCGAAAGGATCTCAAGAAGTCTTACCATCTAGTTTAAAAAGTGCCGGAACATTTCTTATACAGTTCTTGTAACTTACGTACTGCCTGTCAGCAGGGATTGGAGGAATGGATATTATGGTAGCCCTTATATAATCCCACAAAAATACAGGAATTTTTATTTCCTTTGCCATTCCTTCATCCCTTATTTACTAAGAAGCAGGAAGGTGAAGCCTCATGTAATAACAGGATTTTGGCAATCGTACCCCTCAAACTTAGGACCCCACGAGCGTCGTATGATGGTTGCAGGGTTCTACTTCTACGGGTTGGGATTACCAAAATCTTCTTATTATCTACCATAGCTCCTTCTGTAACCCCAATATCGCCACAGTTTACATTTCATTTTCCTTTTCTTTTCCACTGGATTCTCCATTTTGGGGTTTGCACAAATCCTCCTGATACAATCCCCTTCAATCCTGACATAATGCCTAATTTCTTTTGGAGTTACCAATTTCCTCCTGCTTCGTATTAAGATCCTTGTATGATCCTTATAACTACAGTCGCTATATAATCCCTGTAAGAGTATCTTTATTCTCTTTGGTGCTACAACGTCTTCTCTTTATCCACCCTAATCTAAAATGACTTCACTGGGCCCCAAACAGGGAAACCAAGAATATAGAAGTAATATTACAGGAAATTTACTTGCCAGGTTATTAATAGATTCCTGATAAAATCTAGGGGTTTTCCGGTTCGGGTCCCTATTAGAATCTTTTTTAAGAGTCATTTTGTAAACACTACACCTTTAACCTCAAGTGCCAAGGTAGATTGGAAGGGCCTGCTCCCAACGGCGAGTGATAATGCCATCGAGGCCCGGGAAAACTATTGAATTTCTACCCAAAACTGTTGTTCAGGGTTGAGGGCGGTAGGTATTCAAAATCCTGCATGGCTACAGGTTTCCAAAACCTTAGGAACTATGGTACCATACGCGTTCTTGTAGGGTTCTTAGAAGCTAGCGAATCACCATTTAGGGTAGAGGGTTTAAGAAGTTGTCAATTTTCTGGTCCATGTGTTTCGACCTGCCCCGTGCACTCGGAATTACCCGGTGTCAGGCAGAGTCACAGCCAAACAAATCCTAAACCCTGAGCATAGCCCTGAGGTCGTTTCCAAGACCGTCACCTTCGACCCGACAGCGCGAATAAGTGTACCAGACACGCTACGCTTGAAGTCAGGACCTCAGACAAGCCTTTACACTGCTTTTTCAAAATTGCCGGTTCCCTTTTGTGCCTTTCTTCTTGGAGACAGTATACATAAACACCAAAATAGCCTGATCCTTATGATAGGGAGCCCGAAAAAGGCACCCCTGATTTTTTGGGAAGCCCAATATATTATGTAGATCTATATATATATGTATATAAGTATGTGTATATATATATATGTAACGATGTCAGTGGCCCTAAGTCTGAGAAGCTCCTTCCCAGATCTATTGCTAGGTTGTAACTGGCCTGAAACAGCAGACTATGGTGGCAAGATTTTCATAAAACGCACGCAGCCTATGTTCCGTTATTGCCCTACACCTGCGACCCTGAACCTTACATCTCAAAACAAGAAAGGGGCATGGTTTGTACCCTAAACCCTAAACCCAGGTATCTGGATCACTTGTTCGACGAGGAAGACATGGCAATTGACACCTGCAGAGAGCTCAGCTTCGGAAAAATGCATGCGGATTAGGGTTTGGGTAGGGTTTAGGCATACAGTGGTTTCCGTACATAGGGGGGACCTCAAGATAGACCCAAACACTGTAATCCTCATCCATCAAAAAGGACCTATGCTTCTGGGAAACCCCCAGTGCAGCTTGCATGCCCAACACATCCCCACACAGACGGCCCTAACCGAGTTTAGGGTTTAGGGTGTAGGGTTCAGGCTGGGAAATGTGGACTTGTGGCAAGGCACCACCAAGATTGACTGGTCCTTCGACAATTTCGAGCCCACCAAACAGGTGCCGCCTTTCTTTTTGCCTCGTTTGACTCCTTTTGGAGTTTCTCAAAGTCCTGGAGAGGGACCCTTATCATTTTCTTCTAAACCCTAAACTGGCCCTAAACCCTAATCCTGCCCAATGGGAGCCCTACACCCAAGGTCCCAGAAAAAGGTCTAAACCTTAAACACTAAACCTGAAGTCCCCCTTAAGCAGATAGAATATGGGGTATATGGGGATCTTATCATAATATACCCAAGGCTATAGTCTATCCACTTAAGGGGGACTATAAACCCTGATCCCAGGGTCTACGCAGGGATGGGGCACATCTTCAGTCCAAGGTTCCTTCAAGGGCTTAAGCCCTCCAGATACTATAAACTGGGTTGCTGGTAAGGAACTTAAATTAAGTTACCATAATGGGTATATACTGTACATAATAGGGTTTCCCCAATATAGTAACTTAATTTAAGTTCCTTAGCAGCAACCCAGTAAACTCTAGGTCTAAGCTCCCAAGCCCCAAACCCTGAGCAAGACCTAAAGCATTACACCCTCAAGCCTACACGCTTGCTTGGAGCAGGGGGACTTCGCAAGCGGCAATCCTTATCATGATTGACAGTATACGCATCATTGATCAATTGAGCTGATCATCTGGAACCAGGTAGGGATCGTCCCAGCTTCAGACCAGAGAATGTTCTATGGTCTCTTACGTGTCTCTTGTATGTACTGATTTACACTACTGGTTTCTTATTATTACAACAGCTACAGACCCTAGTTTCAACTCAGTTTCCAGTTGGTTCTTCATATTTGCTTTCAATTTGGTTCTCCATTTTCCCCATATACCCTCTAGAACCCCTAAAACCCTAAACCCTTGGGATACCTTGTTTTCGCGCCTCGCAGCTCCTTCAAAGCTACGTCTACTGCGAGCTGGCGAGCTTTCATCCGGAGATTGTCGACCGCGACCGAGAACTGCCGGGGCCTTGCTGTATCATTGTGGTAACAGGTGATTATTGACTATTGACATTTGTAGTAGTTGTTTCGCGGTTGTTTCTGTTGTCATTGTTACAGCGTTTGATGTTTATTTTCATGTGTGATTGGTATTGGTATTGTTTTTTTCATGCTGCTGCTGCTGCTGCTGTTCATGCTAATACTAGGACTTTTCCTGTTACTTTGTGCTGGTTGCTTTGTGTGTCGGCAGCGGCTACTATCATTACTACTGTTCTCATACTTGCAGCACTCCTCTGTCACCGCCCTGTCGCAGCAAGGACCACCAACAGAAACTCGCTGTGATGACTATCATTCTGGGGTATGCCAAAGAATGTTTTTGAATTGTTAAACGACCAGATTCGCCGGCTTCGCTGATCAGACGGGCGCTAGGTTGGCAGCTTGCGGCATTGACAAGCTCTTGGATGTTCCTGCAAAGGTGCAGAAGCCCAAGGCACTTTAGGGTTTTGGGATTTAGGAGTTAGGGTTCAGAGATTTAGGGTTGAGGGTTTTATGGAAAAATATGGTACTTTCCATGAATATGGGGGCCCGGATACAGACCCCCGCTAGAATCCTCGGTGTGGGGACACCCGACAAGGTACATACCCCCAATTTTCAGAAAGTCCTCTATACCATAGAGCCTGGTGGCGGTGGTGGTAGCAGCAGGAGGAGGAGGAGTAGTAGTAGTAGTGGTAGTAGCAGTAGCAGTAGCAGTAGTGACACCAACTTATTTGCTGCTTCGGCTACGATTGTCCTTAACGTTTTGCTTGTGCTTGTGGTGTTGTGCGCTTCGTTGCTGTGTCCAGCCCGGACCATTCTTCAGCTTGTGTCCAGGCTGATGACTTGAAGTCGCTGTGACGTTTCACCCTAGCTGCAAGCAAAAGGGCAGGCTGTACTTTCCAGAAGCTGCCAGAGGGTTTGTGGAAGCGCAGATTTATGCACTTTCATTGGGCTGGTTTTCGGATACCGCAGATCCCTTTGCTTGCACTTAGCTTGCGATCCGAAGATCCTAAGTGGACCGTGCAGACTTGCGGATGCAGTATCGAAAACTCATCCTTTCCCAGAAGGCAGTTAATCCTGCACATGTCATACAGAACTACAAGCAGCTCTCCAGTCTCTAAAGGATGAAACATGCTCAGGAATCGACTTTAGATGCTTTTGCTGCAGCATGGGCTGCCAGTTTTTGCGCCGCTTTGAATTGCTAGATTCTCTGGAACGATACCTCCTGTGGAACATTCTGCTTTTGGCTGAGAATGAGCATCAATGACAGCGTGAAATTGCTCTGTGTCCCCCCATTCCGTGTAGAGACGCCATGATTGGGGTTACAGGTACAATGTGGTCTGCCGCGTGCCTTATAAAGAACGCGTGGTAGTTTCTTTCCGCTGATTCTTTTGCTGGTGCTTGGGCCGCTTCGGCTGGGAGGGCTTGCCATGCCCTTCTTTCACGTACGTGCACACATGTCCTGCAAGAAGGCGAGGAAAACGTTCTGTTTCCTCACACGGACTGACTTGGGGGGTTCTCCAGTCCTTGAGTTGTTGTGTGTTTGGGCTAGGAATAACTAACTGCAAACGATTACTTCTGAACAGCCTCCTGTCGTTGCCCAAGCGAAGAAAGATGCCGGAAGAAACGTTCTGAATCGACCGGCACCTTCTCGCTCTGTTCATAGTCGCTGCCGTCTCCATGACGGCGATGGTATGTTGAGTTTATTTTCGATCTGTTCTATGATTTTTTTGCGGGCCAAAGTTGAGGTCTCAACGCTGTTTCTTGACAGCAGTTTTCTTTTACGGAACGCATTGCCTTGCTGCAGCTCTGCTGATGTGAGCTTTTTGGCGGGAAGCCTGTTATTCCGCAAGGGGATGTAGCTCTGAACAAGTTCGTCCGCTAGAGCAGCTATTGGTATACAACAGTCAGCCTTTTTGTTATTGATGCATGGCTTAGACTTGTCTGACATTGCATAGAAGGCAGTGAAGCTGCGGGCCTGTGCTGCTCCAACAGCATCGTGTGCAACAGTTTAAGTTTTTTGAAGGGAATGTGATAGCCTCATTCTGACATAGTGAGTTGCACGCACCGAAGACTTCTTGCCAGTAGAGACCAGATCATGGCTCGCCAGATCGGGGAGCGGCATGAGGGTTTCTCAGAGGTCAGTGACGCCCCCACCCTGCAAAGTCCAAGCCAGGCCCAAAGCCAGGCCACTGGTGGAGGAACTACAGCGACGAGTAAGGCAGTATCATTTGTTCCCAGTGAGCACAGTGTGGCATCCCACTATTGGAAGTTGGATGCTGAGCGCACGCATTTCCAACGAGAGCTCTGCTCGAGGGCGGCCGTGAGAGACACTGTACGATTCTTTTTCTGGCTCTGCATCGGCAATCCAGAATCCGGCGAACCCATCGATCAAGTGGCAAGTTCGCAATGCACATGGCCAGATTCCAATAGCTCTTCCAAGCACTTGGCTGCCCAATCCTCCAGCCCATGATTTTGACACACGTTGCTCACCCTGGCATTCCATGCATGTAGGATAGCATGCCACGGATCATCCCATGAAATGTCTGTTGGTGGACCAACGACCATGCAAAGCAACTGCCTTTGTTCAACGTTGACGCGGTGTAAATCTGCTTTGTGGACCGTTCTATGTCCAGCTGCAAAACAAGCTATTGGGCAAATCGCGGATTTGAAAACACAAGAGACTTCACAAGCAAATTTGCCGATCTTGTCGACTCCAATTGTTAGCAGGGAAGTCAAATGGTGTAGAAAATCATCGTGTGTTGCATTGGCCCCCCAGCAGGCAGCAAACATCCGAGCCATTTGTGCGAAGCACTACGCAGTAACACCTCATGCAAGAGAAACAGAATCGCCCGTGTGCTGCTCCACGAGGCATGCTTGGTAGCAGCGTTCATCCAATCACCCCCTTGTTTTCAGCGACAACTTGTGACCATAAATTCCCAAGTATGGGCAGGGCATCCCCCGTGATGAGTTTGCCATGCTTGGCCATTTGGTGTCCAGCGCAACACATCACTTTCATTTGTCCCATGGGAACTTTGCAATGTGACCTGCTATTGTCCAATATCGTTGCAGGCATTGCGTTGCCCTGTCGCTGTCAAGCATCGAATACAATACGATTGAGGTGGGTGGCCAATTCGGCACCGAGCTCGCGGACTTCCTCCGCCGCTCGGCGGCCTCAAAGGCGCGTGCCGCGCTGCCCCGACACTGGGTGGGCATGTTGGCGGTGGCAGCGCAGCAGGCCCTGGCATGGTCCTTTTTGGGACTGCCACTGGATACGGCGGACGACTGCCGTGGGCACGGAACCGCCCATGGAAGACATGCTCGTGGACGCGCCGCGCACTCTTCCACGTGCTGGTCAGCCGCTTGCCCGCCCGCCCATGAGGCGGCTGCAAAAGGCATCAAAAGGCAGCACAACCGCGCTGGGGGTTCCCGGGCCGACTGGACATAACATCATGCAGGCGGCAGGGGCTGGACGGAGGAAACAAAACGCGAAACAACGGGAGCTTCTTGCATATTTATGAATATACATTGTTGGTCAAATTGAAAAAATGCAGGCGCGCACTTTTTTTGGAAACGCGCCACATGCAAGTCCAATCATGGCAAGCACGGCCCATTGCTGGTGGCCGTGCCGGAGGTTTCTGTCCTTGTGATGTCAGGTTCCACACGAGCGCAACAACGGAACCAGGGCCTCAAAACCGGCAGCTGCACGTGGTCGCGATAGCGGGCGTTGTGGGCGC